ATATAACACATTAGATTCACACGTCTATACATCTATACACATCAAAACAAATATAAGACCTATAATAATCCGCCAATCGCATGTCAACAAAATTAACCATTACAAGACGACATGGCCATCTAGTTCATCATCTCCAAAGAACAATGCTCATCATATCGATCCAGTGAGAATTGATTTTCATTTCATGTCCAAAGTTCCTTGAACGTGTTAGGCATGTGCACAAACAATACACCAAATAAACGCTTTGACCTACATAATTACAAGTAGTACTGTCTCTGCCTTGAATACAAGGACACAACCAGGAGAGGCTTAAATACAAAAATATGTACATAGATTGAATCGTCCCAAGTTTTGATATACAATAATTACCTTAACCCTCGACCAACAGTATGCAGCTATACATCAGTACTCAATGCCCTGACCAACATATCCTACACGTAATATCTATTACAGGGTTGAGAAAATGAAAGATCTACAAGCTTTGACCACTTATAAAAGGTGCAGGACGCCCAGAACATTACAGTCGAATTGTGCATGTGATTACAGTTTTGAAATCAATGGTTTGATTGAAAGGTGGGTTTGTTGTCATGAATCTCCACCTCTTCTTTTCAGGGTTGTATATTTGAATATCTAAAGTCCATCTTTTCTTGGGCATTCTCCGATGGTCCGATATATCAAGACTCTGTATTGCTGTTGTCAGCACATACAATTCTCCATTCATAGCAACAAACGAACATGAGCTGCTACCTGGAATCTTCTTTCGCAAGCTAGACTCTTTTATCCAACGGTTTAAAACAAAGTCATATCTGCAAAAAAAAGTCTCCAAGTTGATGATTTTAGGAAATAGGGTATGTTAAACCACCTCAGGAAACAAATAAGGGAACATCTTTTGAGAAGTCCACATATCATGCAATACAAAACCATTGAACGTCAATTTCAGCAACTACCTAAATGTGATCTACTTCTGTACGTTAAGACTGGAGCATTTGATCTTATCAAAGTCTTATTCTAAGTAACGTGCTAACTAAAGCTCAGTTATCTAATTAAACAAGCAAAACAAAGTTGCAATCATGTGAAGAATGCAGCATAGAAATGGATCTTGTCAAATGTGAAAACATTTTCATTAACATGCCGCTGGAAATTTTAAAACAAAACCTAAAATCTAAACTATCAACAGAACAACACTGCTAGATATTTATTGTGTAGATCATAGCAGCAATAAGATTCTTCATGGTTAAAATGTATTCAAACTGTCATCAGGATATGGTACCTATTAAATATCAATATCCATGTGAGATCATGCACATCAAAGAGAAGTCTGTGATATTGGAAATGGTAAAAAATGCCACAGCACTCCAACAAAAACATAGCGCCTGTGAAATATAAAATGTCTGAGGTGCTTGACACTCGCCAATATAAAAATTATAAAAAAATATAATTAAGGAGAACAGTAAAAATAAAAATAAAAATTAGACAATATCATTTCATTTTCAAATATCAATACTAAGGCATCAAATTGAATTCATTTAATGAGAATTGCTGGGAAAAACAGAGAGCAAAGGAAGTTTAAGAAGGTGGATTGCCAGAGCCCCCACACAGAGGCAAAGAGGAGAGAGGCACACTGTCGAGGGAGTGGTTGGTCACAAACAGGGAGGAGAAGAGCTGGTCGTTGACAAAAAGAAGAGGCAGTCAATGGTCAAAATCTAGGTTTTTCCGTGAAGAAGTAATCGCAGGGGCAGGTTTGAGGTTTTAATTTGTACTTGATTAAATCAGATCAAGTGGCTGACTCGAGCCATGGTATGATCCAATCCTAAAAGAGTGATATATGTCAACCCGGGTGTGCCTGATGACCAGGCCTAGATGCTTGCATAGGTCATCCTGAGGCACTCAGGTCTCGCACTGCCCGAGCACCTGATGACTTCACTAGTACTGACACCACATTTGTACAATCTGAAATGAGAATATCATAACAAAGAGGAGTATCTGACAAGTCATTTGATACTCATACCAAAGTCAAAAAGTAACTTTTAGAAAATGGTCCTTAATAGATAAGGTAAAAGATTATAGGTGATACTGCTAGTCATTGCCATGTAATTTTTGATCGATCTAAGAAAGATGTTGTAATAGGAATAGATCAGTTTCCATAATTCACAGGCTGGTGAAGTTATAGGAAACATCTACCATATATATTTTGGAATCTTGAGGCAAATGTTTTCTTAGTCACTGCCAACAGGAGGTGTCACAAAGTCTAGAAAATGACAGCAGTTAACATTGTAAGGAAAATGTCTTTTAAACAGAATGAACTCAAAAGATCTACAGCGACAACAGTCTCTCCAATTCCAAATAGGAGTCTATGATCTTCCAAAGCATCTAATGAAATATAAGTGATAACTAGATTTAATGGTGAAGAAAGGCATCATCTAAGTAGCCTGTACATTGTATTTATTTGTATAACAAACATGATACAAATAAAACGTATCTTAACCCAAGAACTAGGTCACACATAGCACATGACAAGATCTAGGGACTTAAAGCGAAGTGATGAGTGAGATAACAAAAGAATAACGACATAAATTCACATGGTTTAGAGTATCAAACCACATTCACAGGTTAAGACATCCAAAGAGGTAAGATTAAAAAAGCAATACAGTGAATCGTAAAAGATAAGGGGCACTGCCAGAGATCCCCCAAAATAAAGATGTTTCAAGAAACACTTCAACACATATTTCAAGGGAAAAAGACTTGAGACTCAAGGGGTTTCACAATGGACCTCTAGCCTTTAATGATCAAGGTGGCAAAAGAAAATATGGAGTGGCGGTAGTGTTGGGGACCTTTGACATCCAAGACAAAGCCAATATAAGACACCATTCTTCAGTAGGTCTTAGTTCAAGGAAATTTAGGAAAACGTAAAATACATAAGACGATCATCATAAAAAGAAAAATCTAGTTAAGGAGTATCTTAAAATATAGATCTAATCATGATACTAAGAAACAGGAACTCACAGCAAATTCTCCAAGTTCGACTTTTAATAAAAAAGGAATAGGTTTGACCCCCACTCTATAAAAACTGATGAGCATAATCACTGACATGGACAACCATGATGCAAGATTTTATGACCATAACGTCTGTAGCTTTAAGTGTGACATATCACCATGGAAATCCACTTTGCATTTCAAAGTTGAAAAACTCACCTTATCTCTAGTCCATAAGATCTCGAACAACAGTCATAAACCATCCAGTTTTTAATAAACATCCCCTTATTTGTAAATTAGGCAGCCTAAGTACAAAGAGCACAGTATCATAGAAAAATAGAAGGCAAACGACCATGTCTGAAAAGTTTATCTTGAAGTCTTAGAATCAACTGATGAGGTCCAGATTCAGGACAAAATTTGAATGAGTTCATTTACATATTTGTGCCTAAAAATTTAGTTATGATAGACTTGCTATTTCTTAAAATTTTTGGAATTAAATTAAATAGACTTTAAGAAGGGTAGTAAGATACATGTAGAGGCAGTTTTAGACATAATATGATTGCTAATATGACAATAACAACAACAATGAGCCTTTCTTATAATAAAGTTTTAATTGGAGTTTTGACAAAGCACCTCACTTTGTCTTTATTATTTTTAATAAATTTTTTTCATGTCTCCCTCTACCTCTTCATCCATAGGTCTCCTTCAAACATGTTCAAGCCAATTAGATAATTTTCACTCATTTATTCTCTATCAAGAAAATGCCTAATTGTTCCCTAATAAAAGAATTTTTTATTCATCATTTCTTATAACTCCACACATCCATCTTGGGATTCTCATTTAGTTGCACTAGCTTATTGAACATATTTCTTGACCCCAAGCACTATGACTCATGAAGCACGACTAACCTTACAAGTATCTTGAAATTTTTCTTAAATCACATGACCCATAAAGCATGACTAACCTTACAAGTATCTCATAATTTTTCTTAAATCATACAAGACATGGAACGTTCATCTCCATTTTAATCACCCAACTTTTTCTTCATGAATAATGTCTTTATCAATCTCCCATTCTGATTGAGCATTGCATCCAAAATATTTAAAACTTTTTATTCAGGATAGCTTCTTATCTATTAATGTTAAACAGACCCTTATCTCTTTTCTATGTATTTCTAAAGCCACATTTCATATATTCAATCTTGGTACTAATCTAAAACCTTTAGTTTATAAGATTTTCTTTCAAAAATAAAATTGTAATTAATCTCAATTAAGCTTCACCAATCAATACACTTATTCTCTATATTTTATCACACACCAATATAATTACTAAATCTTCTTTTTCACTAAAATCCATCATATTAAACTACTAAGAAATCTATCCCAAGATTTTTTTTAACCAAAAATAATAATATGCAGACATTTCTTCTTCTATTGGTGTATTTTCATTATCTCAATAAAATTTTGACACAACATACACATAAGACCACTGACAACAAGCATGAAACTTTGTCAAATCTCATATGCATGAATCGATAATATAATTATTATCCTATCAAAACAGCTTTTTAAGGATTATGTATCAAAATGTACTATTTTTAAAACTTGTAAAGGCTACAAAAAAGAGAACAATTAGATCAGATCTGCTAAGAATTATGTTCTAACATATTTATGGTTGAACAAGAAGCCTAGTGAAGATTAATTGCAAAACTAACCCAAGTGATCTTCCATATTTAGCGAATGATAGAAAGAAATAAAAATTAAAAAACTTCTATCATTGCATGTGCAATACAGTTGAAAATGAAGGCAAAAAAAACTGTAAAAAATCAAAGCTTATAATTATAAAGAAAATTTCATATATAATTTTCAGATGAAAATGCAACATAAGAAACTTTTAGATGCAATTAAAAAAACCATCAAAATCAACTAATCCTAAGTTTAAAAAAAATTACCTGAATATATCATTTGTGTCGAGCATAAATATCTCCTTCGTCTGACCATCTTCTCCATCAAGTGCCACTACTGCCCCCAGTTTCCTTCGCTCCCCTTCCTCCCACATGGCTTCCACTTCCCTCCATTTCCCACTCCTAAGGCCTAGCACCATAGCGTCTTTGTAGTACACATCCGCTGGCACCACTCCTGCCAACGTCCTGTAGTCACCGTAACCTCCCATAACCCAGAATTCGTCCTCCTCCCCGGCTTCCCTCCTGACCAAAAACCCCACGGACCCTGCCCTGTCCCTCGGCAGCCCTGTCCATATTCTCCACTCACCAGATCGAACGCAGTAGCACTCCACGGAGCTCATCCGGCTGCCCACGGAGGGGAACATCGTGTGGCGTGAGCCGCCGCCAGCGACGATGATCGTGCCCTCATCGTTGTTGGCACCGTCTGATGGGCGCAACGGCGCGCAGGCGAAGCTGCCACGGGGGAAGAGCATGTCAGGGAGGTGGTCCCAAGAGAGCGTCGGAGGAGCGGTGAGGTCGAGGCGGTGGACGGCGGCGGAGGCGATGGGGTGCCCGAGGGGGTAGGAACGGGCGTCGAACTGGGACCCGCCGAGGACGTAGAGGTGGTGGCCGAGGGCGACAGGTACGAAGTTCGAGAGGCCGTACAGGTAGGGGCTGCAGGGGAGCGGGGGCAGCAGGGCCCAGGCAGCGGTGGCAGGGTCGAAGAGGCAAGGCGGGGTGATGGCGGGATCGGCGGGGAATAGGGCCAGGAGGTGGCGGCAGGGGAGGCGAAGACTGCGGCGGAGGGGGAGAAGGGCGCGCGGGGCGAGAAAGGCGCGCCACGACCGGGCGGTGGCGCGGAGGCGGGACTGGTGGGAGTAGGGGATCGACGCGAGGATCACGGCCGCAAGGTCGTCAGGTAGGCTGGGGATCAAGGTTCCTCGGCTGGCCGCGTTCGGGGTTAGGGCTTCAACGGCGATGGCGGTGGAGGAGGACGACGGCGACGCCATGGCGAGACGGAGGAGGAGATCGGGAACCGATAGGGAGAAATGGCAGGAATGGGGAGTCGGTTACTAAGCCCTTGTTTCATTCTTGCCAAGTCGCGGGGAAGCGTTACGGAGCGAGTGGAAGCGGTCTACGAGGAGATCCGCTGTTGGTATTAGAACAGAGCCCAAATGATGGAGTGGACACCCGATGAGGTCCAATACAAGGGAGCCACGTTTATACTTTCTGGGGAATTCGTTACCGGCGGATCGTTGTCAACGTGGGGAGTCCGACGGATGCACTGTAGATCGATCGAGTCACCGGGGAAAAGACTCCAGGGTGATGTGGAATCTGTTGTCCATGGGGCCCACTATGGGTCAGTCCTTGAAGGGCCGTATCTAACCGTTACCCTTTATTACCGGTGTGGTGTATTCAGCGAGTAAAATTCGTTGGTCGATCGATCGTGAAATCAGACGTCGAGTCACCGGCGAAGATTTTGTATAGAGAAAAAAACCCCCACGGGAAACATCGGAATTGTGTTAAAGGGATTTTGTCTCTTGCTTGGCTTCTTTTTATGGTTATAAATTCCATGATGTTTATAGAGAAATAAGTAATTATATACATTGATCGCCCAGAAAAACATAAAGATCATCCAATCTTGGGAAAACGAATGACCTATGTGGTTTTTTCCTCTTTTGTACTCTCGAGTACGGTTTAGTATCTAATAGGCTTCTTCAACAATAATACTTAAAGAAAAAATTCTTATCCCCTACTTTATTACAGATTAAAAATAAAACTTATGATTCTCTATTTTGATTTGAGAAAAAAATTGATTCGGCTTTCTTTAGTTTCTTTAATTCATTATGTGTATAAAGGTTTGACTTTGTTGAGATGTTCAAGGTATCATTGTGATGGCTCTAGCGTGATAGAAGTAGCTCTGAGGTGATTTTTGTGTAATCTCAATTTATCTGAGGTGGTCTTAAGGTCAGGCCGAGAGGGGATCTGGCTTCTCAGCAGGTTCCTATAAGAAGGTTAGTGTCGGGAGGAGTTTCCCGACCCAACCCCTTAGATATACAAGTTAGTTCTGAAAATTATATGGGGTGTGAGAGCTTTTGGAAAGAGATCTGACCCCTGGGCCGATGCTAGGGGTCAACTTTTATACCTGACCGATTAAGGAGATCCTTCATAATAGACTTAACGTTGCCCCCTTTGTGTTTTATCCATGGGGACGATAGGCCTGAACGACCTTCTGTGGACTATTGTATATAAGGACCGATAGAAGGGGGGATAGACTCGAATGATATCCGTGAACTATTGGTCACAAAGGTTGATAGGGCTAGTCTGAACAACATCCCATGAACTATTATCCATGGGGATCGATAGACCATAACCACCCCTTATGTTATTGCCCAATGGAGGGTGATTCAACCATTTTCTTTCATGTCAGCGTTTCTAGGGTGATTAGTTGGTGGATGAGGATTAGTTGCCAAAATATTTCCTATCATTTGTCCTCTCGTGAAGGCATGCTTCATGGATCTTGTAAGAGGGGTTCAGAGTGCATCGTTTAGTTCGTCTAATATGGGAGCATTCAAGATCTCATCTTGCGAGTTAGGTTTTCCTGATTTAGGTGTCTTGAGTATATTGGGCTTGTGTTTTTATCATAGTGGATTTACCTTGGCATGGGTCAAGTTTTCTTGACTCACATACCTCGGGCACTTTTACTTTTATATAACCGCCATAGCAAATTTATCTTGGTACAGGTCAGGTTATCGCAACTCACATACCTCGAGTACTTTTAGCTTTGTGCCTCCACCGTAGCCGATTTACCTTGGCATGAGTCGAATTTTCTTGACTCACACGCCTCAAGTGTTTTTAGCTTTATGCCTTTGTCGTAGTGGATTTACTTTAGCATAGGTTAGGTTTTCCTGATTCACATGTCTAAGGAGCTTTTAGCTTTGCACCTCCATAATAGCGGATTTATCTTGGTGTATATTGAGTTTTCCTAACTCATATGCTTCGAGCGCTTTTGGCTCGAGATCTCCACCGTGGTGGATTCCCATGTCCCTTCTCTACCGTAGCGGATCTTGAGTTTCTCGACCCGCCATGGCAAGTCTTCAAGTCTTCTCTCTACTGTGGCTGATCTCTTATCCCTTATCCATCGTAATGGATCTCAGGACTCCACGTTGTGGTGGATCCCTTGTCCCTTCTCTAGATCTCGGGATTGCTTGCCGTGGCAGGCTTTCAAGTCCTCTCTCTGCCATGACATATCTCGTCCCTTTTTAGTTGTAGCGAATCTCAAGACTACCATGGAGGATTTTGGAGCTTCACTGCATAGTGGTGGATTTCACGGCCCATTCCGCTATGGCAGATTTCGAGGCTTACTCCACCGTAGTGGATTTCGAGGCTCATTCCATTATGGTAGATCTCGAAATGTGATTTTCTCGTGGCAGATTTTGAGACCTCTCATGCTAGTCATAGATGCCCTGTAAGCCAATCACGTGAGTGATAGCATGTGTGACTCGACATACACTCTTTTTACTTATTATCATTATTTGATATTTTATAATTTTATCTTGCGTGTTGCATATATTATGATATCCATGAATCTATGCAATGAGAATCGGATCGTGATTAGATCACGATAATGAGACTGATTCACCTTTAAATGTAAACCCTAAATAATCTTAGTCATAAGTTACTCAAGAAGGAAATCGAGATAACTGGATATATTAGTATGTTATATACCTATTCATATGATTGAAGTAGTTGGTCTCATAGCTGCTCGTGTGAGGACACTAAGGATACAATGCAAGTGCTCATTGGAGAATGAGTTCATTGATTGATCTGCTCACGGAATGTTGGATGGTTGATGATACCTTACTATTAGACAGTGATTCCATAGTCTCAATAGTGTATCTGATTCTTAGACTTGAGACACCAAGAATGTCTTGTATGAGTAATCCACTCTTTGATACCAAACTTAAAGGTTTGGAAGTTTCAAATCTAGTACAGTCGGTTATTGGGAGTGGCAATCAATCTTACAAGGGCTACTGAGTGTCGATAGAGGATCATCTACTCTCGGTATTATGAGAGGAATATCCTGTATGTTCTTGCTTAAATAAATCTATGGCCAAGGTCGTTCGATTTGAGAGATAAAAAGTTCTCCAAGAGAATCCGATTAGAGCAAGACTCGAGGAGAAACTGTATGGGCCTAACAACACCATGCCTGATATATGGTTTCTAGGATATTAGATGGATGATGGACTATAGGTATATGGTAACAGAGGATATATAGGTCCAATAGATTAGATTTTCTTGTATCATCTAGTGGCTTAGTTCCTCCGCAATCGATAAGTTGAGTGAATTATTATGGAGATAATAATTCACAAAGCCAAAAGGAGTTCTAACATATATGACTTACGACCAGCTCAATATTGGGCCTGTAGGGTTACATGCATATGGTAGGCATTGCGATGAGTAGAGGTTCAAATATGAGATATCCGTTGGAGCCTCTATCTTATTGGATATCCAATAAACCCCTAAATTATTGGATCCCATGGATATAATTCAATAAGAGCTAACAAAATATTATTGGGTAGAGATCTACTGGTCTAAGAGGGTTGGGTAATTGGATGGAGAATTAGTACCTAATAGGGTAGGATCCATTAGGGTTAAGTTAATTGGGGGCCTTTATAAATAGGAGGGAACTAAAGGCCCATAGACTAGGGCTTCCTAGTTGCCACCTCCTATTCTCCTCTCCCATTCTCCTCTTCAGGTAGTAGACATGAAAATTTGAGGAGCATTGTCGCAGCCCTATTGTATGGATACCGCTAGAGAAAAGAGCGTTTGACCTCTTTCATCTTCTCATACAGATCTACATGGATTCAAGGATATACGATCTCCCTAGGTAAAACACATCTATCTTATATGTGGATTTAAGTTTCATGGATTTTTACACACCAATCTTTACATGACGATGAACAACTTTTGGAAAAATTTAGGGTTTTATTTTATGTTCTTCCTTTACACATGTGATGTTGCTCATAGATTTCCCTACATCTCCCACCTTGGTGGGCTTTGAGCTTTTCCGCCATCGGAGCCCCTTAGGGTTTATCCTAGATGGGACACTTGTCTCAATCATAGGAGGAGAGAGATTGGCAGCTCTCCCTTAAATCCCTCACTCGCTAAGGAGTGGGACTCACTCCCCACCTAAGCCTCTAAAGTCTAAACCCTTCAAGATCTTGGGAGCTTGTTGCATAAATATATTATGATGTCTGTGGATCTATACAATGGAAATTGGATCGTGATGAGATCATGATAATGAGACCGATTCACCTTTAAACATATACCATAAATAATCCTAGTTATATGTTTCTCAATAGGGACATCGAGATAATCGGACAGACTAGTGTGTTGAATACCTATCCATATGATGAAGGCGACTGGTCTCATAGTTACTCGTGTGGGGATACTAGGGCTATAGTGTAGGTGCTCATTAGAGAATGAGTTCACTGATTGATCTGCTTATGGAATGTTGGATGGTTAATGATTCCTCATTATCAGACAACAATTTCGTCGTCCCAATAGTGTACCTGGTCCTTAGACTTAAAACACAAAGGATGTCTTGTATGAATACTACACTCTTTGATACCAGACTTATAAGTTTGGAAGTTTCAGATCTAGTATAACTGGTCATCGGGAGTGGCAATCAATCTTACGCTATTGGGTGTCGATAGAGAATCATCCACTCTCGATATCATGAGAGGAATATCCTATGTGTTTTTACTCAGACAAATTCTTAGTTAAGGTCATTTGGATTAAGAGAGAAATAGTTCTCTAGGGGAATCCAATTAGAGCGAGACTCGAGGAGAAACTATATAAGCCTGATAGCACCATGCTTAGTATACGGTCTATGGGATATTAGATGGATGAAGGACTATATGTACATTGTAACTAAGAATAAATATGTCCAAAGAATTAGATTTCCCTATATCATCTAGGGACTATGGTGTAATGGCATAGTACATTTGTAGTCGATGAGTTGAGTGAATTATTATGGAGATAATAATTCACTGAACTAGAAAGAGTTTTGATAGGTATGACTCACTACTAGCTCGATATTGAGCCTAGAGGGTCA